ATGCTAACGCGGCTGGGCGAGCCAGAGGCAGAAGCGCGAGGGTTGCTGGGTTGGCTGGAGGTCGTCATCAGACTGCCCTGTTTTTACTTGGTGGGTACGGAGAAAAAAGCAGAGTTGGCCTTATGGCTAAGATCAAGTGTAGTATCTGTTCTAATCAGTGTGAAAACTGATTTCCACACTTCGGTGTGGTTTTTTTTCACATTCATTTTTACAATCTCCGATAGTCCAGTTGGCTTGCCACTGACTATTGGACTGGTTTCCGAGGGCCCAGCACTCCTCCCTTGTGAAGCCTAACTACTACACTCGACCTCCATTTCACACTCAAATCCCCACCTTTACTTCATATTCTTTCGCAACCCACACCTCTCCAGCACGAAGCGCTGCCGACGAGCGAAGCGAGTCGCAATCAACTTTGCCCGCAGGGCCCGAGGCGTAGCCGAGGTTTAGTCCAGTTGCTAAGAATACACTAGGTCTGCATTGTACACTGAAATCTCCTCCGTTGCATGTTGTTTCCAACCATTCGAGCGCAAGGCGCTACCGACGAGCGAAGCGAGTCGCAATCAACTTTGCCCGCAGGGCCCGAGGCGGAGCCGAGGTATAGTCCATACTAGTATGCCTAATGTATGCTCCATAATTGCTCTCGCAGTTTACAGTTTGAAACCATTTTGACATTAGAGAGATTTCGGAGCCCTTTTTTTTGCTCCTCTTTCACTTTGACTTTTTTGTTTCGGCAAACTCAAAGTGAAACTCGCACTTGAAAAAACTGGGATTTCGGAGGGCCCTTTGAAACTGAAAGAGAATCGTCCGGATATGTGTCCGGATACCAAGGCAACAGCCACGACATGAATGGCGGCGCATATCCGAGTTCCGACCATGGGCGGCGCGGCAACCGAGAGACACATCGAGGACGCACCAGACCTCGCCGACGTCGACGAGCGCGCTGGTGCGCCCGATGAAGACACACGATGGCCAGTGCTTCGAGGGCCAAAACACTATCGCCCGCATGGTGAAACGGAAGCGCTCGATTGCCGTCGCGTCATCGAGCTCGGGGTTAACATGTAAATGCGTTGGAGAAGTCGATGCGCGAGGTCGGACGCCTGATACGGAACAGCACGTTGGCATGGAGGTGGTGCAGAATACGAAGGACGCAGCGCAAGTCACCTCTTCAGGCAGCGTACAGGCGGCAGATGAAGTCGGCAGCTTCTGCCGAGCTCAAAGGCGGCGCAACGAAGGCCATGGAGAGCAATGGAAAGCTGCCGCTTATCCAGTTTCCGATGGCGCGTACGGTTAACCCTCCGGATACCCGAAACACGCGCTTCGCGAGACTGAAACTCTTGTTGAGTTTTTTGCCGATTTACTCAAAGTTGAAACTCACCAACGCGAACGTCCTGTTTCAGCAGCCAATCAGAACGCAGCATTTTGAAAATGAAAGTGAAAGTGAAAGAGGAGCAAAAAAAAGGTGCTCCGAAATCTCTCTATTGACTGCAGGCCCCCTCCTGCTCTTTGACACACAGATGATCTTGGAGTAGGCGACGATGGACAATGTTGACTTTCGCTCTTCGGTACGCCGTGTTGGCATGTACATGGTGCTGACGGCCTTCGCTTCTTCAATTGTTTCTACTTTATTCTATTGTGATTGCATTTCCCGATCGACCGCGCGGACCTCCGACCTCATGGGACCATTGTCAAGGTCCGTGGCGGCGCTTCTTCGACGGGTGCAATCGTGGCGGCGGTTGCTGTGCGCGTTATAAATCTGCTGGGGTACATGCTTCTCGGTGTCGGGCACGACAGCGGCCCATTGTGAGCGTCTATGGCCAGGACCACTAGCGCTCTATGCTCGGAATGTCGCTTGTGAGAGAAGCGCTGGCCGCTCGAGAAACGTGATCGTTTGGACGAGTGCAAGCTGGACTAGGAGTGCAAACTGGACGAGGAGTGCAAACTGGACGAGGAGTGCAAACTGGAAAAGTGCAAGCTGGAGAAGAGCGGGGCGCCGAGACATATAGCATCGGCGCCGTCGTGGCTGGTACCAAGAGCGAGGGCCGCGGCGGTCAATTCTCATGTCGTTTGAGCAGCGCAAAAGTGATGTAAAGTACGCTCTCTGGATGCATCTTTTAATTGCGTTGGCCCGCCAAAAACGCGCGAACCGCAGATCACTGTTTCTTGGCGCTTGTCTATTACTAGTATTGGCACATGAGGCTTTTTGTGATGCTACGGGACGCAGCGAATCACCTCGACAAGGACGTCATGCGTGCGAGCCGCGCAACATTGCTCAATTCTTGGAAGAGATAAAACACTATGGAGATAAATGGAAAGAAGAAAGTGTCGTTTCAACTGCCAGCAACGTGCATGGTTCCAACATCCGTTCATTTCAGAGTCGAGCCAGGATGGCGCAACGCGTGTGTTCCCAAGCGAGCGATACCGACCGGCAGATTTACGAAGCTGCAATGGACGAGGTTAACGAAGAGGCACCATGCTTGCGGACAAGTCGTCTCGAAGCTAGCACCGCGCCACCGCTTCGCATTGACGGCATCGACGGTGCCGTCACGTGGCCGCTTTCGTTCGCGCACGCAGCAGCCCTCGCAGCACTCGACGTTCCCAACGGCAAGCTTCTCCCGACGTCTTTTGCTTTTCTTCAACCTACTGCGTGGCGCAAGGTCGTCCAGAACGTACTACATCGCAAGGCGGCGAATGCGATTACGGACGCTGACCTCGTTCTCTCGCACCTCGTGATCGACGCCGTTGGCACCGGCGCCACGCTCATGCCGCTGGACATGCCGCCCGACGTATTTGGCTACATGGTTCTGCACTTGCCATCTGCCTACGACGGCGGCGAGATGACGTTCAGCTATCGCTACACGACCGAAACATGGACACCCGATAGATGCAAACTCGAGATGGTCACGACCTTTCGCGACGTCGTTCCTGCCTCAACGCCAATCACAAAAGGGGTGCGCATGGCGCTCGTCTACCGTCTCGGTATGGTCGACTACAACGAAGATGGTTTTCCCAGGCCCTGCGACCTCTCGGACGGCATCAACGCGTTCAAGCGCATCGCAGACATGCCGCTGCACACGTACCAGCGCATTGCGGTGTGTATCGACGACGACGAATTGGAGACGTTTGAGGATCCCGCCGACTTCTTGCGCTTTGACTATCTTGATGGACTCGACGCATCGTTGGTTGACACGCTTTTGGCCACGGAGCTGTACGACATTGCACTTGTGGCGTTTGCTAAACAGTCGACCGACGACGACGACGAAGATGACGAAGATGACTATGCTTACGAGCCCAAGATTGAAAACAAAGTCGCTGCGTGCACGCCGCACCCACGGTGTCAGATCCCCGCCGACGTTGTTGCGGCACTTATTGGTAGCTGCGTCGACATGGTTCTCTGTGACGGCACGTCATTGGACGACGACGAGTTTAAGTGCCCGCCGGTCGCGCTCGTCTTTTGGCTGAAGCGGTATCGGCCGACTTTGCTCGGTCTTGACGCAGTGCTACCGCTCGTGCAAGAAGCCATCGCCAACAACACCGCCGACCAGCCATGTCTGGGTCGTCCGACCGTCCGCGACGTTCTTCTTAGAGCCCTGGGCGCTTTTCATCCCGACCAGTACGACGCACTGTTTGAGAAGGGAGTAACGAACGCGCCTCTCACAATGTTGTGTGACGTGCTTCTGGCGCTCGACGATGTGGAGTTGGTCGTCATCTTTTTACGAGATGCTGTTTTTGTGGGCTACTGCATGGGCAACTCGGCCACGGCGGCGTGCATCCATGCGTGCCTTTCGCAGTATGGCTGGGAGCGGCTGGCACCGGTCATCTTTGGCATTCTCACTCGGTGGTACCAAGCGCCACCGTCTCAACACGCACGTTTGGAAGCCATTCCCATTGACTGTGCACCACGGCTGCTCGCGAGCCTTGCGGGCATCACTACCGAAGCGGTGTGTCCACCATTGAAGCAGCCATTTGTGTGCGAGCTGATCAAGATGTGCTACCACCACGTACTCAGCCAGCGCCGGTTCGTTCCAGACACTGACAACTATCGCGAGGCGTTCCGTCGGTTCGCAACCCACGTCATCCTTCTCGACTGGTACATTGACGAATGTGCGCCCAACGCGGCCAGCGAGAGCTACCTTGGTGCTTTCTTGCCACCAAGCATGATCCTTGCGGTCGAGTCGTTTATCTTTACTCGTCAGCCCGGCACCTCGACGCTACTTGCCGTGTATAAGACGCTCGCACCGGAAAAGCTACTCTTGCAGCTGCCGGAGGCCTTTGCACTGGCCTTGGTCAGCCAGCCGACGATCCCTTTGGACCTGTACGTCGGCGTCATCGAGCAAGCGCTTGTGACGTTCAATGCTGCACAAGTGCGATATGAAAAGCTGGGGACGACCATCTTTGCGAACGTTCTGGATGTGCTCGACCGAGCGGGGCGCTGTGACAGGGCCCGATTTGAAGCGGTTTGGACGCTCTTGTCTCCGGCGTCGCTGGCCGGAACTCGGCAGCTGCTTCAACAACGAACACTGCGGGACGATGTGCCCGCGGGCATTGCGTCGCTTGTGCTGGCGCTTGCGCCGACGCTGTCGACTCCAAGCCACTGGCAGGTGACACAGACGAGTTGCTACACATCGTGGGAGCAGCCTGGGTTGATTGCAGTCGAAGTGCTTGCGACTGTCGACCCGACGCAGGTGCCGACGCTACTTCAGCTATGGCTCGAGGCCATGGACCTCGACCAAGTAGACGTTCGGGACCCGGCACGGGAGCTCTACGTGCCTTTGGCGCAACTGCTTGCCAACGTCGTGCCGCAGCACGTAGACGAGATGCAAGCCGTTGCACAGCGCTGCCTCGCTGTCATCGGCGACGTCCGCAGCCGCCCACCGCTTCCTGACATCACCGATTATGTCTTTGGCGACATTCAACTGGATGCGAGCCACTGCAAGCTCTGTGCGCGCTTGGTCGAGTTCTTGAACGACGGCACACAGACCAGGCTTGAATTGTTCGAGACGATGTGTGACCCAGGCCAACGCTGTGTCGACGCCAACCACGACCGCCTCGTGGTCCAGCACCGTTGGTTGAAAAACTACTTTCAAAAGGTGCAGCCACGGGGTGGTGTGAGTGAGAGTCAACTCGCCAAGCATGTCAAGGCCCAGCGAATGGACGCCGAAGATCGAGCGCGCGTTGCGGCTCTGGAGATTCTCTTGGCTAATGCACAGCAAAGAAAGGGGCATGGTGGTGCGACTGAGGACGACGAGGACGACGACGAAGCCGCACATTCACGCCACGTCAAGCGCCAGCGACGACCGAGCGATAGATAAAGGCTGCGCTGCAGGAGCTGTATACGACGCCGGCGCTGCTGCTACTACTCGCCTGTGATGCAAATCTAGTTATCTCGTCAAATCTGCCGATAACAAATGGGTTTCGACAGTACGACGTGCACTTAGTTGGCGCGCGCAGGCAGTCGGCCATTTCAGTAGTAGACTGCCGTCTCGAGAATACGTCTTCTCTGCACTGGAAGCGCCTTCGAACCAAGTTGCTCATATGTCCATAAAGCGGGACTCTGCTATCTCTTGCACCGTCTGAAGCCACAAGAGCTGCACTGAAGAATGTCGACCATGGCGGTAAAATTATCAAAACTATAGACCAAACAACATGGAGTATGTCAAATTGCACCCGCTTGAACTGCGCTTGAACGAAACCCTACCGGAACCTCTCGCCATGACGAATCAAGACGGGTTTCGCAGCCACAGTCGCAGCTTCCGACACCACTCATCATGCATGTATGCCCTCCCTTTCCCGGCCCTTTCCTCGCCTGCGACGTCCCTTTCCTATGGCGCGCGATCCAGCATGATGGTTTCCGCCAATCCATGAGCACCAAATGTCGTTTTTCAGCCAATCAGAGCGCGATCATACATCCAGCGTCGTTGTGCCAGCGTTTACATGGCAAGTTTGTATGCATACGTGGCACCATGTGACGGCGCCAATACTGGATGTGACGACACTCGATGACCACGAGCTCGCATTAGATTCGTCGCCGTGCGCAGTATATTAACATAAAGTGTATCACTTCGATGGAATGTACGCTAGATTCGCGCCAAAATCACACCCGTGGATGTCCCATCGGGCTGGTGCGGGTCTCGGTCCATCACAATTCAATTTGCCGCACGCCTTGCCATGGTCAACAAGTTTTTCCTCCGCGGCCTTGGCTTCCTCAACGACGCGTACGACCTCTCGGTCATCAACATCATCAACGTCATCTTGGAGCACCAGTACGGCAAGACCGTCTTTGACTCCAACATGAAGTCGAGCGTCTCGACGTCGGCGCTCATCGGCGCTGTCCTCGGCCAGCTCGTCTTTGGT